CATGAGGACAACTATTCAGCATAGGCTCAGCTTCTTGGAGATGATTTCAACTTAGTCATCTTAGCTTTTTAAAAATAATTCTCTCTGAAAATTAATGATGGCTCTGACTTTCATAGGTTGCCTTCATTACCTTTTCCCATGGAGCAAATATCATTTTGAGCTATAGTTGTTTGCCCTAATATTTAAACTATCTTGTTTTCTTCCTTCATTTCCTGGGAGTCTCAAGAAAGAAAAAGTAAGGCATTCATACTGTGGGTTTCATTATGTCCTCGTTATGATATGGGAATCTCTTTCCCGCATCATAGCAGAATCATACTTATAGAATTGGTAGTGGAGGATGGGGAGAGGAAAAAGGAGCTGGCATAGATTTGGACAGGGAATATTTCATTTATTTAATATATATAGGAAGATGCTACTCTTGAAATACAGATCATCAGGGCTAAAGCTTTTGCAATTAGGCTCTTGACAGGTGGAGGAAATTGGGAGAAGAGAGAAAATGATCTAGAAGAAAGAGTTCAGTGAGGACCAAAGGCAACTTCCAGAAGAAGTTACAGGGATAATTTGTCTCCTTCAACAAGGGATGGCCATGATTTATTGCTGCAAAGTTCGTAGTATATATTTAATATAACTTGTTGCATTTGAGTTAGGAGAGGGAAGAACAATTTTACTTCTATTTTTATTTCACTGAATTTTCCCTTTCTGAAAGCTGCAGGACAGAATGTATGGAATGGACACAGCCCTTTATGATTTCTACTGTTTGTTCATATCCTTTTATTTATCCATGTTTTCCAAGATATTGGACTTTCTAATCTCCTGCTTTTCCCCCTCACATACCCCTTTCCTTTCTTTGGAAGGGGGTTATATATGAGTTTGTTGGAGAAGTTCAGTGAGGCTGAAGTAAAGGGGCAAGATAGGGCAGTTAACTAAAGAGCACTTTATTTCTTTGAAGCCTTTGTAAGAAATAAATGGGGATGAGAGTAGATTGAATCCCTCATTGTGTTGAAGAGTACTTAGTGGGGTTGAAGTATGACACAATATTTTCCATTAGGGAGAGGAGCATTTCTTATAGAGGGAGGCAAAATGCCTTTGCCTGGTGTCCCTATGTTAGGCATCTCTTCCTTATTCCTTCCATTCAAGGTACACCCTACATATAATTTCCCTTCAGTTCTCCCCAAGATTCTTTCTTTACAGATTAACACTCCTCTTTTCTAAAACCCCTTTCTACTCGGTTTCATACAGAGTTAGGAAGGGTAGGCTAAATCATACACACAAATGCCCCTTGTTCATCTGTGTCTTCTGAAAACTAGTATCATTAAGAATCTGGTGGTCAGCCAGAGTAACTGAAGTTTGGGGCTGGGACTGGAGATTGGCCAGTAGGTCACCTGAGATTCCAGCTTTTCTCCACCAAAATCAGCCTTGCTAAATGGTACAGGACAAATCTGACTCCCATTGGGCCTCAATTTCCCTTTCCCTCCATGAAATGGAAAGAATACTACTTTTTATTATTGGTCCAGCATTGCTGGACATGAAGTATAGTCATTGTTGTTGTATTGGGTGATGTGTGAAAATTGCAGGAGCTCACTGCCTAAATGAGGAAATAAGGGAGAAAGCAGAGGAGAGGGACAAAAGAAGCAAGTGTCTGGTATCAACCTAACCATCCCAGGTTTCCTCTCCTCAACCCCATGTTTCTGGTCTGGTGAGTCCTTTATACCACCCATAATGCTTTGCATTGGTGCAGGCTGGGAAGGGGTATATGGTCTCACAATTCGATGTTGTTGTTCTTGGTTTTGTTTTTTTTTTTTTTTTTTTGCATGCTTTCTTAATAAAAAAAAAATGTTTCCAGTTTTATCTTACTAGTGTTTGTCTCCAATTTATTTTTGCCAGGTAGGACAGGAGAAATGTGAAAGCCTTTGGTTTCAGTTGTCCTTTGTCTCTTTCCCACACCTCACCCCTGGGTTTCATTAGTTGACCTTTTTTTTTTTTTTTTTTTTAATGCCTTTAACAGTCCTTTTTTTAAGTGCTATTAAATGTAGTGAACTTTTGTTGGGAGAGACAGTAACCCCTTGCAGGTTCATGGGTGGAGTAGGCCCACCTTTTAGTGTCCATTTAAAGGATGCATGAATTTCTGACACTTGAAAGGAACCAGGGGCAAAAAAATTTATTCAGATGAAATACATAAGCAAATTAAATTGAAAAGCTATTACTGCAAATCTTACATCAGGTCAGACATTATTTCCTCACAAACAAAAAATTCCAAGTAGTTTGAAATTTTTCTGCACAGTACTTTACAACAAATTTGTAGTCTAGACCCTTACCCCAATTATTGAGCAAGTCATTCTTAAAAGTCTAAAATGCTATGAGAGAAGATATTTTAATAACAAAGAAAATTCCAATGAATTATGCAGAAATACTGTTTCTACACCATCTTAAAAAAAGTTATGAGAGATTTTTGGAATAGGAAAACATTTTTTAAAGTTGAGATTTAAAATTGTAAAAATGACCAGAGTGTCAGAGTTCTAGTAGAACTCATTTTGTGCAATGAACATGAGGAAAGATAACTGTATAGTTTTGTTGTTTTCCCCCCTTTTAAATGAAGAAAAGCTTTGCTTAAAAAATAAAATAAAATGCTATGTTGTAGTACAAACAAGCCAAAATTTCAAAGGTTTAACATGATGAAATACACAGAGGAAAGAAAAGGTGGCAGGAATTGAAAAAATGCTTTTTAAAAACCAAAGAAGGTTTACTGTGGTACTATTCACAATAGCTAAGATATTGAATCAGTCTAGATGCCCACTGACAATTGAATGGATAAAGACAATGTGATATACATATACAATAGAGTATTTTTCAGTCATAAAGAGAAATGAAATCCTGTCATTTGCAGCAAAATGGAATGGAACTGAAGGACATTATGTTAAGGGAAATAAGCTATGCATAGAAAGACAAGTACTACATATTCTGTTTCATAGGTAGTGGTTAAAAAGTTGATCTGAAAGTTATAATTACTATAGAGATTGGGAAGGATGTGTGTGTGAGGTGTGGTGGGGGGGTGTGATGGGAAAAGGGTGGTTGGATTTGATCAGTGCATTCTGTATGCATGTATGGAAATATCACAGCAAACCCCATTAATATGTACAATTAATATGTGTTCATAAATTTTTTTAAAAAATAAGGAAAGCTATATAAGTTGTTGGAATATATAGGCAAATTAGAAGAAAAATTTGTGATCGTGAGCAAATTATGAAAGTTGGCATGTTGAATAAACTATTTTAGAAATAGGAAGATATCTGGATAAAAACCTTCATCTTTTAAAACAAGAAGTCATTTTATCATGTCTACAAAAACAGCTGCAAAAGCATATTACTTAGGAACATGGTCAATATCAGGAGAAATATCTAAAATTGTTACAAGGGTTATCTCTGGGAAATGAAAGTGGGAGTTGCGAGTTATTGGGCAATGGAATAGAAGGCCTCATTTTATTATAATCTTTAAATTCTTTAATAATTAAATGTGTTTATTACTATTACTTGGTAAATATAAAGATTATAAAGATTAATTTTAAAAACTTAAATGCTGGTGGGCATGGTAGCACACCCCTGTAATCCCAGGGGCCCCGGAGGCTGAGGCAGGAGAATCGTGTATTCAAAAGCCTCAGCAACTTACGGAGGCCCTAACCAACTTCAAGAGATCCTATCTCCAGAAATAAAAAGGGCTGTGGATGTGACTCAGTGGTTAAACACCTCTGGGTTCAATCCCTTGTAGCAAAATAATAATAGATACTTAAAAGCTATATCTGATAATTTGGGCATGAAAGAGACCTGGAGCCATGTTTAAAACACTTTTTTGATGGTATTCCTGTCAGGGTTCTCAGTCATTTTTCAGTGAATCAAAGATATGCTGCTCCATCCTCCCTTCTCTTCCTCCTTTCATAAATGAAAACTATTAATTTGGGGCAAGCAGACTAATTAGAACCTTAAAGAATCAGGAGTTATGTGAAGCACAAAGTCTGATGTGAAAGAAGATTAAGAGGCAGGGGAACAATAAGGAATTAAGAAATTAAAAAGGAATGAAGATAGATGGTTTTATCAGTAGGCAGATAGAATCAACAAATAGAGAACTCCCCAAACCACAGTTTCCATAATATGTCATAAGTAAGTTTTTAGATGTATTCTAGATGCTCTTTAGTGGTAATCTTGGAAACTTTGACTTCCTGTATCCTGTATCAGGGGTATTCCCAGCAGCAGACATCTGGCATTGTACTCTGCTCCAGACTCGGGCGCATAACTCCTTGTTTTCACATGCTTTTTCTTTCTGCGACTTATTTTCATTTAAAACTGTCACCACCAACATCATAACAAAGCCATATAGAATAAGTGATTATCTTCCATTCGTGTAAGACAAGAAGAAATGGTCTTATGTTGGTAATATGGAAAAGGATTTAGATAATGCTAAAGAAAAAACCTAGTGATGAAAACAGTTAAAAATAGAGTAGGCTGGGCATGGTAGTGCATGCCTTTAATTTCAGTTACTCAGGAGGCTGAGGCAGGAGGACTGCAAGTTCCTAAGCAACTTAATAAAACCCTGTCTCAAGAAAAAAAAAATTGGGGGCTGGGAGAATATACCTCAGTGGTAAAGCACCTCTGGGCTAAATTCCCTGTAACCACCCCCTCCCCAACACACACACACACACACACACACACACACACAAAAAAAAAAAAAGACTAGATTCTTATTTATCTCACATGGCTTAGGGATAGAAATACACTAATTTTTATAATGATTCTCCAATTTGGTGTTAATGAGAAGCAAGAGGGCCTGTTAAAACAATGGGCCTCATCTCCCAGAGATACTGATTCATCCATGGAACCTTGAGTATTGAATTTCTAACAAATTTCCATTCCAGTAGATGCTGATGCCAGTAATTTGAGACCACACTTTGAGAATTGCTAGATTGATTATTTGATGATTTCTGAAGTCTCCTGCTTGTCATAATCCCTCATTCTTTTACAAATACTCACCTAAAGACATCTACTTAGGTAGGTTGCTCTGTATTTTCACACACCTGTGCTGATGCTGTTTCTTTCTGTAAAGACTTTGTTTTGGAAACAACTGGTAGAGTGTGTGAGTTCCTCACTGAAGGCTGCCTCCAGAATACCCTTCACAGACTGCTTTGCTTTCTTCCTAAAATCTTTCCCCAAGAGGGCATAGAGGAAGGGATTGAAACAACTATTGGCAGATGCTAGAGCAAGGGCCACATTGTCCCAGGATAATAGTGTTCCTCTCAAGGAAGATCCTGGGCTAATAACCAGTAATAGGACTCCAATAATATGGTATGGGGTCCAGCAGACAAGAAATACAGTCACCACCATCACGGTCACTCGGAAAGTTTTGTTCCGAGACTTTGTCAGTTGGCTCCGTCGCATTCGAAAAACGATGATGCTGTAACAGCACACTATGATAATAAAAGGCAGCAAGAAACCCAACACTAACCTTGTAATGGTTATTATCATCATAGTTTTTTGCACTTGACTGTCACCAGGAAATTGGCTTAAATTATAATCCTGGAAATCTTGTGATTGCTCAGGGTCATAAAAGTTATCACTATAAGCCCTGGGGTAGAGGTCTAAATCAGTAGGAAGAAAATTATTAGGGTTATGCAGTACATCAGTTTTGTGATCTTCAGTGAGAAACCCACTGGGGCTTGCAGATGAAATATTAGGAGGCTTAAAATTATTGTAAGATGGATGTTGACTAGATAATCTTGCTGACTCCCCAGGGATCAAATCTCCAGAATGTCTTCGAAGTGTTTGAGATTGGAGGATGGTGGGGGCTGTCCAAGGATAATTGTTTGCTTGGAAAGAGGAAGAATTTAACTTATCATCCATTTTTCCAGGCTGCTGAACAATGGAGTTGGTGAAAGACCCATTTTCTAATTCATCTGGATCATAGGTGTAATACGAATAATCTGAGCTGGTGAAATCAAAATTGTATATACACATTTTATAATCATCTACAGTGACTGTTTCCCGGTACATGAACACAGGAATACACATTGCAAAAGACATCATCCAAATACATCCACAAATAGCGAAGGCTGTCCTCACTCTGCGATGATTCTGACACCAGATTGGCCTGAGTACCATCAGACATCGGTCCACGCTAATGGCAGTAAGCAGGAAGACACTGGCAAACATGTTGAGGATGATGATGGAGGGGATAAGCTTGCACAGGAACCTGCCATAGGGCCAGTATCCATGGAGAGCTAAGTGAGCCAGGGAGAAGGGCAAAGAGAGGCAGCAAAGAAAATCTGCCAGGGTGAGATGGAGAAACCAAACTGTGTTCACTGTCCGCTGCATCTTTAGGCCAGCCACCCACAACACCAGCCCATTGCCTGGCAATCCTAATAAAAAAGTGAGGCCAAGAATGACCATGGAGAGAATTATTTGGGGTTCATACAAAGGCTGGGAGAGTGGGTCAGTTGAGTTGGTCTCAGCAGAGAATGACTCCATTGCTAAACTTCTGCAAAAAGATGAAAGAAATGTTATAACTAACAGTATCTTTGTAAAATGTGTATTCTTAAAATCCTAACCTGCCTACATAATGATGCAGCACCACAAAGCCAGAAGGCCCTCACATGTTTTTGTTTATATTCCTTGATGTTTTAGGCATCTTTGCATCACTGTGACCAAAAGACCCTACAAAGAACAACTTAGGGAGAAGTTTGTTTTGGCTTATGGTTTCAGAGGTGAGGCAAAATTTCATGGCAGAGGAAAGCAGCTCAGGACATGGCAATCAGGAAGGAGAGGAGAGGGGACATGAAGCATGGAGTGAGAGGGGAGGGGAGGAAAGAGACTACTCCATTCACCAGAGTCAAAATATAAATTCCAAGGCATGTCCTCAGAGACCTACTTCCTCCAACCACACCTTATCTGCCTGAATCCAGTTAATCCAGAAAAGTGAATTAATCCACTGATTTGGTCACAACTCTCATCACCTAATCATTTCATCTCTGAACATTCTTGCATTGTCTCACACATGAGCTATTGGAGGACACCACATATCCAAACCATAATAGTTGACTTCATACTAAACCACACAAAAACATTTTCTGACAGTTTAAAATCTGCTGGGTAGATTTGAATGTGTATCAAAATATCAACTTCACTTAGAAGTCCATATCAATGCAAATTTATGATTCTTTTTTTTTTTTTTGGTACTTTTATCTCTCATTTTCCACTGACTCACTCCATGCTTCATGTCCCCAAAAACAAACAAGTAGGGGCTGGGTTGTGGCTCAGCAGTAGAGCGCTTGCCTCACATGTGAGGCACTGGGTTCAATCCTCAGCACCACATTAAAAAAATTAATAAACAAAATAAAGGTATTGTGTCCATTTACAATATATGTATATATATTTAAACAAACAAGTAAGCTAAATGAGTAAACAAAAACTTCTGGAACTTGTGGTCCCCAACCTGTGTTAATGAAAAGGCTTTTGGAAGCTTCACAGTCTAAAATGATATGAAAAATTTTAAATTTATTTATTTTAATTTCTCTGATGGCAGAAGTTGGATCCATTTCCTTAAGCAGACTTTTAAAGGACTCAACTATCACAAAAAGAGGGAGTCGCCACTTGGTTTTGTCTTTCAGATGCAACTTCTTCTTTTACTATCAGATTTCTCAAGAGTTATTGATGCTCTTTGCATTGACTGCTTTCATCATTTCTTTCTTGTGTTTTAGAGTAAAATTTGGGGAAAATAGCTTTATTATTACAAAGCAGAAAATAGGCATGAAGAGAGTTGGAAACAGACAAGTAAAACTAAGAAAATGAGCTGGCACAGTAGCTCATGCTTGTAATCCTAGTGGCTTGGGAGGTTGAGGTAGGAGGATCTTGAGTTCAAAGCCACGCCTTAGTAACTTGGTGAGACCCAAGCACCTCAGTGAGATCCTGTCTCTAAATAAAATACAAATAAGAACTGGGGATGTGGCTCAGTGCCCCTGGCTTCAATCCCTGGTACCAAAAAAAAAAAAAAAAAGAAAAAGAAAAAAATGAAAATGTCATATCCACCAGTCAGTGATTACTATATCTTAATTTATATTCTTTGGATCTTTTTTTCATATATGTGTGTATACATATGTATATGCATTTTTTGTTAAAGTTTAACAAAATTAGATCATACCATGAATATTTTTTTTAAAATTTGAATTGTGAAACACACAACAAAATTTTTTAATTTTTATTTATTTATTTTTTAGTTGTAGATGGACACAATATCTTAACTATTTTTTTATTTATTTTTATGCGGTGCTGAGGATCAAACCCAGGGCCTCATGAGTGCGAGAGAAACTCTCTACCACTGAGTCATAAACCCAGCCCACAACATAAAATTTACCATCTTAGTCTTTCCTTCCTTTCTTTCTCTCTCTCTCTCTCTCTCTCTCTCTCTCTCTCTCTCTTTTTCTTTCTCATATTGGGGATTAAATCCAGGGCCTTGTACATCCCCAGCTTTTTTATTTTTTATTTTTTTAGTTATAGTTGGAAACAATATCTTTATTTCTTTATTTTATTTATTTTTTTGTGGTTCTGAAGATCGAACCCAGGGCCTTGCATATGCTAGGCAAGTGCTCCACTGCTGAGCTACAACCCCAGCCCCATCCCCAGCTTTTAAAAATTTTATTTGAGACAGGATTTCACTAAGTTGCCAAACTTGTGTTCCTCCTGCCTCAGCCTCCTGAGTAGCTGCCATCATAGGTGTGTACCATTGCACTCTGCCTCAACCATTATTAATAGTTCAGCAGTATTTACTGAATTCACATTGTTACAAAACTAATGACCAGAACTTTTTCATATTGCAAAGCGGAAACTGTACCCATGAAGCAATTCCCAGTTTCCTCCTCTCCACTGCCCCCCCGCAATCAACATTCTTTCAATTTTTACAAATTTGACCACTTTACATACTTCATAGTCTTTTTCTTTTTGTGTCTGGCTTTTTCTTTTTTCATTGAGCATACTGCCTTTCATTTTGTGGAATGTGTCATTATTCCTTTCCTTTTTAAGGCTAATATTCCAATGCAAAAATGAGAGTTTATTTATGAAATTATCTGTCAGTGGACTTCAGATTCCTTTGACCTTTAGGCTGTTGTGAATAATGCAGCTATAAATAGGGGTGTAAATACATATTGTTTTATAAACTTGTTTATGTTTTCAGTTACCAGTCTTCACATTACACGGTATGATTGTACTTTAAGGAATATCTAGTCTTTGTCCAATTATTTGTCAACTGCCCCTAAAATATCTTTTATAATTGATTTATATAGAAGCTGGGTTTTGGTTCAGTGGTAGAGTGCTTGCCTACCATGTGCAAGGCCCTGGGTTCGATCCTCAGCACCATATAAAAAATAAATAAAATAAAGGTCTTGTGTCCAACTACAACTAAAAAAAAAAAAAAAAAAAAAAAAAAAAAAAAGATTTATCCCTGACAATATCCAATCTAGAATCATACTTTACTATGGGGTGTTATATATCTTAAGTTTCTTAATTTAGCATAGTTTCTCTTTTCCAGGATGTTGGCTCTTCTGGGGGTGCATTGTTCTGACCACTTCCTTCTTAACCTTTTAAATTTACATACTGCCCCCATTACTTTTAGAGAACAAATCCAAACCTCTGTTTGTCTTCATCCTCCACAAGGTAAAATTTGTCATTCGGTATGCTAAGTCCTTAATAGTGTTCTCTTGGCCTCTGTGACATTATTCTCTCCTGGTTCTGAACATTCCTGTAAGTGTACACTACTTTCCCAAAGGATTCATTCTTCCAAATTAATGCAGTTTTCTTATTTCTTGGCTAATGCTATTTACTTCTATCTGGAATTATGTCTTTCATTTAGCCTCTTCTTTCCTCCATCCTTAATCTCTGCCTATTGAAATATTACATATTCCTCAAGGTCAAGCTCAAATATTATATCTTCCTTGAAATAATTTCTTATAATGCCATTTAGAAATTAATTCTTCAGCGTATTGATTGTGTGTGTTGAATCCTTTTTCATATTCTCTATGCAATGGCACATTTTTATCTTGTGTTATAATTATCAATTAAGATCATGGCTGTCTTATTTATCATTCTGGCCTTAAATTTCATGATGGTAAAAATAGTCTTCTGCATAAATAATTGTTCCACAGAATTTAACTCAGTACCTTATATGACATAAAGGCTAAATATAACTTCAACGGATGAGTGCTCACCTAGGGTTGACTTTGTTTTTTGGTACTGGGGCTTGAACTCAGTGGTGCTTAACCACTGAGCCACATGTCTAGCCCTTTTTTATTTTGAGACAGGGTCTAAGTTGCTTAGGGCCTTGTTAAGTTGTTGAGGCTGGCTTTGAATTCGTGATCTTCCTGCCTCAGCCTTCTGGAATTACAGATATGCCTGGTTGGCTTTTTCTTTATCTTTAATTAAATTCAACATTGTAATTCTTATCCATTTAATCCTTACCACGGCTGCTTTCTTAATTCCTATGCTGTTGCTTCTAACTTCCTTTTTAAATTCCTAATTCTTACTGGATACAATAACACTCTACATTTCTTTTTATAGAGGCCCCAAATTTTTTCGTGACTTGAAAGTAGTTCTGCTGAGGTAAACAAACATTTTTAAAGGGATATATAGGATTAGCAGAAGTGAAAATAATTAGTCAACAAAATACAAAAAAAGAAATTATTCCCATTCTCCTTTCTGTGGCCTTTTCTACTCAAATATTCAAGTCCTATCATGAGCTCTTCCCTCCCTCTTGTGAATGGCAGCTACCTTGATCTATTGCACCATTTATGCAGAGATTCATACAGACTTATGCATAGATCCATAAAACAATGAAAGAAGGATAAAGTCATAGATTGCTAGGACTGAAAGAAAACTGAATAGTCATCTCTAGTTCTCTCTACTTTTGTAATTTTTGATACTGAAACTCGGTAGATTAGGTCACTTTTACACAATCACAACTCAGGAGGTTCTCAGATGCTAGGTCCACTGAGTGTCAGGCCAATTTCTTTTTACTGCAAAGCATCACATAAGCAAAAAACATATGGTATTTCTAGTAAAGGGCACTGCACAAACTGAAATAATAAGAGTTGAAAAGCGCAAAATTCCAATATGAGGGAAGTTATCTGTATGAGCTATATTATCACATATTATCTGTCATGAAATGAAAGTATATATGAGACAAGCCTTAAAAGTCCTTCAGAGCAAGATTATGTTTTACATTTCTTTAAGCTTTAGCTAAAAAATACCACTATGTTTAAGATTAGTAGAAAATTTTTTCCTTAGATTTTATTATAGAAGGGGTCAATAGTAATTAAAAGGATAAAATTCTGAAACTAAAATTCATCTATGATAAGGAAAGGAAAACTATTTTATCCCAGAATCAAATAGTAATGATACAATGACAGAGCCAGTAGCAATAAGAAATGGGAAGAGTAGAAGAAAAAAAATAGGGAAATAGAATGAGAATTTCTGTGTGTGTA